GTCTCGCTCTTGCTCAGGCTGGTCTCAAATCTCCTGAGCTCAGGCAATCCTCCCACCTCATTGGCTTCTTCCTTGAATGCTATTTTTTTACCACCAGTCTAGAGGACCAAATGAATGTTTTGAAATTCCACTAGATAATACAATTACTACCAGTAATTGTTTTAGATTCTTTACACATATTATCTCCATAAGATAAATAATACTATTCTTTTTCTACCAACAAGGAAGTGTTCAAGATCACAAAGTCAATAAGTGGCAGAACACGTATTTGAATCCAGTTTGTCTGACTCCAGTGTTTTCATTATGCCATGGTATTTATCTAATACTAGACATGGGTTCTGGAACATTTGAGCGCAGTCACAGGAACTGACAGGGGAAAGCACACTGGCAAAGGTGCATAGCCAACTGCATGTCTCTCCAGTTCTTAGAAAATAGCATCCTAATAGAACAACACAACAGCCAACCTGCTTTATGCCAGATTCCGGGCTTAGCATGTGTCTTCCCCATCCGTAGGCAGGAGAACTCAGTCAGCATAGTGTCTAGTGTTTCTTAACCTTTTCTTGCATGATCCATCCCCCCAGGAGCCTCTGTAGACATTTTCTTCCTAATCACTCCCCAATCCAATTAAGTTGTAGTACCATAGATAGACCCTATATTTGTTTATGTACTGTGGCCCTTTGGAGGGCCAAAAGCCATCGTAGTATCTAAGGTGGGTTTTTTTCCTTTGCCTTCCTAGAAACTATTTTTACCCACTTGGGGGCTACATCACCCCCACTGAGAATGCTTCATCTAGTTGCAGATAGCCAGGGAGGGCTCAGGGAGGCTAACAGGGAGGTGAGATGCCAGGGAGGTGGGGCCAGGACCTTGGAGAGCACCCAAAGTGGCCCTGCTGAGACCTGTCCAAGGCTCCATGTTGCCTGAAGAGATGCCTGAAAGAAGGTGGCATGGAGAGGATGGGGACTAGGAGACTAGGATTGGTATTATTTTACTAAAGGTTGTAGGAAACATCAGAATATGAAGCCTTCTAAATTCTATTTCATAAAAAGTTCTTACGGGGGCTGGCACTTTGTGGGTATGGACTTCAATTCTCAAGGTTAAAGGTAGTTAAATGGCACATCTTCGGGTAGTTTAATGATTTCAAGATCTTTACTAAGAGCCCATCTCCATAGGAGTTAGAGGTTTTCAGAGGTTTAAAGGTATCAGATTAATTCTCCCTTTCTCCCCTTCCAATGCTGGTTAGGTTCATGACGCTAGAGAATAGTTTTACAGTGCCTGCTGTGAGTTGAAGATAATAGACATTATTTACCATGTGCTAGACAGATACTGTGCCAAGCCATTTTAGTTAACCTTCACGACTATCTTATCAGGTGGGAATGATCATTACCCAAGGCTAAGAGAGATTAGCAAACTTGCTCAGGATCACACAGCTGATCACTGGAAATGCCAGGCCTTGGACCCAGACAGTCTGACTTCAGAGCCCTAGTGCTTACCCAGCATGCTATACTGCCACTAGATTGACTCAGTGGCCCTGATAAGATTTTTGTGTGGCTTTAAAAAAAAAAAACCCATTAATATGCTTAGCACAGAACTATCATCTTCCCCACTCAGCTTTCTCAGAGATAACTCTCTGACCTAAGGTCAGGCTTTTATCCTCTCCCCAGGAGAACTCAAAATTTATCATGTCACTTCTCTTCTTATAACCCTTCAATGGCTCCCCTTGTAGCCTTCAGGGTAAAATCCAAGTTCTTTATCCTGCCTTATAAGGCCCTTCATGATATGCCCCTGCTTATGTGGCCAGCCTCATCATCTTTTACCACTTTGCTTCTCAGACTCTCTGTTCCAGTTGCATTGATTGATGCATTTTCAGTAGACTGTGCCCTCTGTCCTCTTTGGGTCTCGGCACATGCTGTCCCCTCTTCCCAGAAACTTCCTTTTTCTTCACCTCCCTTCCAAGGGGCCAAATACTCTTCATCTCTCAGGTTTCAGCTTAGATACCACTTCTTCTGCTTGTCCTCATAGATCCCCCAAATATGGATACAACAGAAGTAATAGCATCATAGTACTCTGTACTGGTCAGATTGCCCATAGTATGTTTTGTCCAGTACTGAACATCATATAGTTCAGGTCTAGGACAGGCAACCAGTATGGTGAGCATTCTGAAATAGATTTTAATATATACTAGGTACTGAGTTAATAACTTCATGGATATTATCTTACATAATCCTATTGGATTGGGCAGGTACAGATGAGGAAACTGAAACCCAAAGAAGTTAAACAAATTGCTCAAGTTCCCTCAGATGGTAAATGGTAGAGCGTGGTTTTTGAACCCAAATCTGTGCAAATTCAGAGCCTTCAATCTCTGCATACTATTACCTCTGGAAACCATATTATAACGACTGGTTTAGTGATAAAACAGAAATTATTTAACCTGGAGAACAGATGACCAAGAAGCAGCTACCCTCATTCAGACAGTTGAAAAGTTATACTTTTCAACTTCAGAGAATCACAGGAAGATAGATGGCTCAATAGAAGAAAGAAAGTTCTGAAAAGAAGGCGAGCCCTGGAGGGGAAAGGGAAAGGCCCAAGTATCAGCTGCCTATGTGGCGCTCAGCCCAATGCCTGCCACAGAGGAGGGGGCTCCATAAATGGAAGGAAATAGAGTTGTCCACCAATAGAATGAGTTGCCCTGTGAAACAGTGACACTCCCCACAATGGGGCTGATTGGCCACCTGACAGAGCACCATGGGAGGGATCACAGAGAAGAGGTTCTGCATGTTCTGCATTCTTGAACTAGATGACCTGGAAAGCCCCTGGCCACTCAAGGATTCTGCAGTTATTGGACTGAGTCTGTGACTCAGACTTGGCAAGTCACAGCCCACCTGGCATTCATCAGTGCATTGATATCTCAGAAAGTAGAGAACACGAGTGGATGGGACTTCTGGGCTTCCGGAACCCAAGCTTTTACCCCTTCCAGCCCCATACCAAGGAGTCAGAAATGGTCCACTGTAACCCTGGGTAGCTAGAAATCTCCCAATCCTGTTCTAAAGGCTAATCTGGAAATAGAGACATTTAAGTCATATACAGGGAAAGGTTCTGCCTGGAGATTTCAACTGCTATCACAGGATCTGAAAGAGGAGATGAATACTCCTTGCTAGCAGATGGTCAAGACAAAAAAATCAACATGTCAACAAATGAATTTCTGACAGTCATTTGCTGAAAAGAATCGAATGGGCCCCACAAAATGTACATTGGGTTGGTCGTTGTTCCTCGCACACACTGTCTCCTTTCGCTCCATGCTGAGTGACTGGTGGCAAACACTCAAGACTGCCCCATCTGTCGGCACAGAGTGAGTTCCAACACAGCATGGCCAGAGGCAAGCGCTTTCTCCTGGGCTCTCCCAGAGGGCTCACACAAATGAGCCTGGCTCAAAAGATGACAAAACTTTCCATCAAAGCTTATGTTATCAGACTCTCTGCTCCTACTTTCGAAAGATTCATGCACCCTAAAAAGAATAGAGCCTTCTGGAGTATATGAGGCCACTAGTAACCAAGGCGTCTTAGTTGCATGGTCCATCCTACAGCTTTAATCCACACACATCCGCACACAACTACACATACAACTCTATTAAACTAGGCAAACTTCACTTGTGCTACTTTTAAAAGAAGTAATAAACTAAATACAAAATTTTTATCCTCATCTATAGACTAATAGTGTCTTTTTAGTTCCAATTTTATTATTATCCACACTTCTTTGACTCTGTCTTCCCATGGTGTTCCCTTCTGTCTTTTCACTTGCTTCTTGCGACTTAGAGACCAAAGTTTCCCATTTCTGTCTATAGCTTGAGCTTCAGGTAAGCTTCCCTCAATGGCCTGTGGCGTGGTGGTCTCTCACTTGACACCTGTCACCACATCTCTAACCCTCTTATCAAGGATCTGAGCTCTAAGCCCCCTGAATCTTTTTCTTGCTGCCTCTAAAGATGGCAATATGGATCAGATATTGTATGACAGCTAACTATGTGAAACCCATCGAACTGTTTTTTCCAAACAGGAAGGAGTGGCCTTCCACTCTTTACAGAAGGGTTAAAACTTTCACCTGCTGATAGAAAACAATGGCTGCTGAGTCGATGGTAGTAACTTACACTTAAAAACTGGGTTCCCCTTGTAATTCTTGCCAAAACAACTTTTATTAACCACTTTCTAACAATCTACTTTCTTCTCCTCACAAGTTCTTTTTAAACAAAATGCCTTATGCTGAAAAGGCAATAAATTGGATTTGCGTGCTGGTATCCAGAGCTCCCAGAACACAGATCCACAGATGCTGCCTGCAGAAATGTGTGTACAGATACTGCACACATAGGTGCTTATCGCAGGGGTGCACAAAGACAGATGCTACTCACATAGACAGATGTCCGCCAGGAACACGACATATACCAAAAGCTCCCGCAGGGTGGTCTTGACATAAAGTTCCCGGTTCTCAGCTGTGTTCTCAGTCAGGGCTGTTCCCCAAAGTCCTAAGGGGTATTGGAGAGATTCCCAGGATCCCTAAGAGCAGTGTTCCTCCCGGTTATCCCCACCCATCTGTCCCTGGCTTTACCCCTATGGCTACCCCAGCCCTTCCTTACCCATCACCTTATCCCTTGGCTGAATCTAGTTACACCCATGCCTGCCCTCCTGGATCCAGCTCCCTGGGGTGGGCAGGGTGAAGGCACTGGGTAGCAGAGAACAAAGGCATGAAAAGGAAGAACTTGTTCTGGGGAGGGGTACAGTCCAGGGTATCATCACATCCATGTCCTCCTTCAAACTAGCTTCCACACACCCCTCTGGGTCCCCAGGTGATGACTATGCCAGGCTCCCCCTCTGGTAGACCTCTAGATGGGTCTCTGTGTTCTGGGGCATGCAGCTCTAACATAGGCAATTCACAAACCTCAAAGAGACACTGAGATGTCACCTCTTATTCAGATCACATTTTCCCCCTAGAAGCTTTTGGTGACCCCTTCTCCTAACTCCAATATCCCAGGAGAACCCTCCCTCCACCTGGTACCTCTGATGCCGCGACAGATATGGAGGCAGCAGCTGGACACCAGCGTCCTGTGTGCCTTTGTCTGGGGTTCATCTTCAGACTTCTTGGGTTGGGGCTGCGGGGGCACCACACTGGAGACAGTGCAGATCCTCAACGTCCTGTGTGGGGACGGGGGACCACTGTAGGCGGGGTTGTCCCAGGCCCCTCTCCCCAGCTTTTGCAGCTCCTGCTCCTCAGAACTCTCCACAGCATTCATGGTGAACTAGACAAGGGGCCGGGCACCCCAGGTGCTCACTCTCACCTGGAGAAAGATGGAGCAAAGGCACAGCCCTGCCTGGCCCGCAGGGGGCAGGGGAATGGGAGCCTGAGAGCAGCTGCTCCAACACAGCCTCCGCCTCCTGCCTTTTGTAGGGGGAAATCTATGTCTGGTGGGGGAGGGAGCAGACGACGAGGACTGGGGCGGGCAGTGACCATCAATCCTGCCAGGTTCTCACACTGTCCTGTTTGCTGCAAGTCCCAGGGGACAAGAAGAAAGGGGATGTGAGGGAACTGGGAGTTAAGGGTTTGAAGAGGGGAGAGAGGAGAATATGAGGAAGATGTAGAGCCTGGGGGCAGAAGAAGGGATGGGTGAAAGAGGAGAGCAGGGCTGGTGATGAAGGTGCTGGTGGAGGGATGGTGGAGGATGGGCCAGAGATCAGACAGACAAGATGATAAAAGAGCAGTGGGAGGAGCTGCGAAAAGAGGGAGCCTGGGGGCCTCTATTGTGGGTCTGAGCTAATTCCCACTAAAAGCTCCTGAAAGGGCCGATATGGATCCGGGTGGGGCCCAAGGCCAGGCTGAGAGACTGAACCCAGCAGCCTACCCAGACCCAAAGTGCCTGAGGCTCCTTTAATGTCTCACCTTGAGCCTTCCCCAGTGGAGTGGAGAGGGCATCTCCCCTCCCTCACTCCGCCCTTATGGCAGGAGGGAAAGGACAGTGGCAGGAGGAATCCCCACCACAGATACTTGAGGGATAGGGTCTCTGACCCTGAGAACAAGGGGAGAAGGACTGCAGAGTTCTAGGTTGTCTGTATTCTTTTTTCTGAGGCTTACCCTCCCATGGCCTATAGGGAAGGCACAGCAAGAGAAGGGTATTCCTTAAGGGCGTGAGGCTCAGTTTAGGAAAAAGGCTAAGTCTTGATTGGGAAATAGGATCAGAGAGCAAAAGGTGATGACTTGGGACTCCTTAAGGGAGTGGATATCTGGACCCAGCTGACCTGGCAATCTTTCCCTATGGCTGCTAGGCCTAGAATTGTAAGCTGGAGCACAGCATGGAAATATGAGTGATATCAGGATTGATCTGCTTTCTTTCCAATCTCAGGTCTCTGAAGTAAAACCCTGGCACGGCCCCAAGCACATCCCTACCTATGCCCTGCTCGAGCCTCTGAGCACCTGCCCTGGCTCGCCGACAGACATGCACTGTGCCCCAGAATGGGGCTGGTCCCACAAGTGCTGGTAGTCACCCTGCAGTTCCTCATCCCTGAAAGCTGAAGAGGGGGCTGTCCTCTCTCAACTCCTCGTTCTCCACCTAGGGCTACTCTCCTGCTGCACTGGCCTTAAGCCCATCTTCATGTATAGTAAAACGTTAGCCTTTAACGGGACACCAGTCTCCAGACAACACAGGGCTGGACTTTGATAAATAAGTGTACTCTGACTCCTAAGACAGACTTGAGTAAGTAGCTGTTGTACCCTGATTCTGCTGCATGCATCTCCTGCCCCAGGCCCAGATGCTATTAAGAGAAAGAACTCCCTGCTTAGATGGAGCTGAGGAACTGTCAGTGAGCCTTCCTACATAGAGAAGTGCCCATCTCTCCATTTACCAGCCAGTGAGACACATTCCAATGTGCCTGTTTTCTTTTAGAAGAAAAAGGATGAGATACATTTATGGCCAATTTATTTTCAACAAAGGTGCCAAGAACACACAATGGGGAAAGGACAATCTCTTCAATAAATGGTGTTGGGAAAACTGGATATCCACATACAGAAGAATAAAAATAGACTCATCTCACTCTTTATACAAGAATCAACCTGAAATGGCTTAAAGACTTAAACAGAAGACCTCAAACCATAAAACTACTAGAAGAAAACTTGGGGAAAAGCTCCATGACGTTGGTCTGGGCAGTGACTCCTTAGATATGACCCCAAAAATACAGGCAACAAAAACAAAAATAGACAATGGGATTGCATCAGACTAAAAGGCTTCTGCACAGCAAAGGAAACAATTTATAGAGTGAAGAGACAACACACCAATTGGGAGAAAATATTTGCAAATCATACATTGGATAAGGGGCTAATATCCAAAATCTATGAGGAACTCAAATTACTCAATAATAAGAAAACAAATAACCCTATTTTTAAAATGGGCAAAGGATTTGAATAGACATTTCTAAAAAGAAGACATACAAATGGCCAAGAAATATATGAAAAAAATGGTCAACGCCTCCAATCATAAGAGAAATGCAAATTAAAACCACAATGAAATATCACCTTTCACCTGTTGGACTGGCTATTATCAAAAGCATGAAAGATAACCAGTGTTGGTAAGGCTGTGGAGAAAAGGGAGCCCTTATATACACTGTTGGTGGTATTGTAAATTAGCACAGCTATTTTGGAAAACAGTATGAAGGCTCCTCAAAAAACTAAAAATAGAATCACCATATGTTCCAGCAATGCCACTACTGGGTATGTACCCAAAGGAGTTGAAATCAGTATATTGAAGACACGCCTGTGCTCCCATGTTCATTGCAGCATTATTCACAATAGCAAAGATATGGAAGCAACCTAAGTTGTCCATCAACAGATATATGGATTAAAAAATGTGAATATTAAGTGAAATAAGCCAGGCACAGTAAGACAGATGCTCACTTATATGTGGAACATTTAAAAGTTAAAGTCATAGAAGTAGAGAGTAGAATGGTGGTTATAAGAAGAGGGGGACCTAGGGGAGAGTGGATAGGGAAAGGGGAGAGAGAGGTTGGACAACTGGTACAAACTTACAGCTAGATAGGAGGAATACATTCTGGTGCTCAATTGCCTATAGTTAAAACAATGTATTGCATATTTCAGAATAGCTAAAAGAGGATTTTAAATGTTCCCAGCACAAGGAAATGATAAATATTTGAGGTGAGGAATATGCTAATGAGCCTGATTTGGTCATTCCACAGTATATACATGTACCAAAACATCACCATAAATATATAATTATTATTTGTCAATTAAAAATAGAATAAAACTTTTTCAAAATGAAGCAAATGGAAGCATGAGTAATGTGAGATAACATATTTTAATGGTATAGACATTAAAAATTAGGAGGTTTAGAGGGAAGGGCGGGTTCCCTAGAGGAAATGGAACTGAAGCTAGATCTTGATGAGTGGGTGAGGTTTGAGGAGGAAGACCCCCACCAGGTTTGGATGGCGAAGTGCTTCTAGGCAAAGGAACAATAGATGGGGTTTGGGGGACCTGAAGATGTCTGTGATGCTCACAGGGCTGTAGGAGGCAGGCCTTTAGTGCAGTTGGGAGAAAACGGTGGAGGGGGAAGGCCTGAGGTTGTATCATCAGGGTGAGCCCTGTTGCAATTAGGGTTGCAATGCATGTGTGTCCCTGGAGGCAACATGGAAACCACCAGTTATTCAGACAGTGGTTAAAGAACAAAAGGAGGCTTTCTTTTCATTTGGGGCACTCATCTCAGATAATTTTTCATTGATAAAGAAATGAGTAGTTGATTCTTTCACTCTTCCTTTGCCAAAAGGTGATTTAATCCATGTTTAAGAGAAACATTCTTTTGAAATTTTTACTTACAGTTAAAAGATTTCTCCGAGGCGGGCGGATTGTTTGAGCTCAGGAGTTCGAGACCAGCCTGAGCAAGAGCGAGACCCCGTCTCTACTAAAATTAGAAAGAAATTAATTGGACAACTAAAAATATATAGAAAAAATTAGCTGGACATGGTGGCGCATGCCTGCAGTCCCAGCTACTCGGGAGGCTGAGGCAGGAGGATCGCTTGAGCCCAGGAGTTTGAGGTTACTGTGAGCTAGGATGACGCCACAGCACTCAAGCCAACCAAAAAAACAGAGACACACTCTCAAAAAAAAAAAAAAAAAAAAAAAAGATTTCTCAAAAAAAAACCAAAATAAAAGTTTCTCAGTGGGTTGGAAATTTAAGGTAGTCCCAGATTTCTTTCAGATTGTTCTTCCTTATTATAGTTTATATAAATATTGCTTCACCCTAGATATGAGTTATGGGTAGGAGGGATTTTTTTTACCATAGAACACAGCATTCCAGAAAGACCTCATTTCCAATGATGAAAGGCTACTGGCATACAGAAATCTGGCATGTGGTTGAGAAGAAGGGATACAGCTAACATGAGAAAAATTTGAGAGGGAAGCTGTAATCCCCCTTCAAATTCACTGGAGGTTCTGATGTATGAGGAAACACAAAAGAATTACATGTGTGTAGGTTGGCCGAATGGCTAAGGAGTGCAGGTGCCTGTGTGTGGGGTTGGGGCCTGACAGCCACGCACAGATAATTGAAGGTGTAAGCCCCAGAGAAGGAGCAGGATTGTGAAGGTGCTCTTTAGGGGATTAGCTAAGGGTAATGAATGAAAAAAAAAAAGAAATCTTTCATCAGAAAGACTTTCATAATGGGTAAGATTTAAGCAGCCATAAAACAATCTCCCATGAGAGGTGCTGAAATTCCCATCCCTTGAGTCATGTGGAAGAGGCCTATAAAGTTTTGGAAGTGTACAACGCTGCCCTGGTTGGGGAACGGATTTGGTAGCCAAGACTGATCCTTTGTCCTGATGTTTTACAGCTCAATTTCTAAGATGAATCAATTGATAAACAATAAATTTGGAAACTCCCCAGAAGGAAAGAAAAAACAAAGAAAAAGGATGAGGAACTGTGCCAGTATCAACTATCTTGTGTTAAATAAGCTGATTGGGAAGGAAAAGGGGAGCTGCTGCCTCTCACCCATGAGCCTTTTGAACAATTGCAAAAGGCCACTTGACTTGCAAAACTGGACCTCAGGACAGGGGTGATGAACAGAAAGCTAACAGTCTGGTCCAGAGAAGCAGGAGATGGTTTCTGATTCCCTCTGGGTAATTTTGAATTCTGGAGGAGGCTTGTGATCAGCAGGAATTTGAACAGAGGTTCATCATGTGACAAGTGTCACATCTCTGAGAGCTCAAGGCCATGACTGAATGGCTTACTCATGATCACTCACCTGGGCAGAACCCTATTGCTTTTCTCTGCTCAGTGTTAAGCACTCGCTATGTGTGTGGCTCAACTCATATGGCCCCAGCCCACAGGTTATGCAACACAGCTTGAGAAATCCTCTCCAAAAGTGCTCTGCAGGCTGCGATGTTTAAACTTACTCAAGAAGTTGCAAATGTGGTAATCAAGTGGAATCTCCTAATGACTTTCTGTCCAATACCTCTCCATATCTTGAAGCTTCTACCAGCCACTTGACTTTTTCTGTTAAAAAGGACAACCAGTGTCAGGGGAGTCCTGTGGCTCAGGCTGCCTCTTCACCAGTTCAGTAAAATCTCAGAGCCTTGAATTTAAATGTGAATTAAACTCCTGGGTTTATCTGT